ACACCGAGCGCTCCCCGATCGTGTCCTCCCCTCAGGTCGTTGCGTCCCCTCCGGCCCAGGTCCCCAGTCCAGTTGCGGTGTCTAGCCAGGTAGTCACGTCCGGTCCGGTCGCTGTGTCCAGTCCAATCGCTGCGTCTTGCTCCTGTCGCTCTCTAGCCCACCGCACCGTCCTGTGGCACCACCGCCTTGGCCACCCGTCGATCCCTCGCCTTCGTGGCATGCTCAGTCAGGGACTTGTCACAGGTCTCCCACGCACCTTCCCGTCGCTCCCTCCCTCGCTTGCCCCTCCTTGCTCTCCGTGCGTCGCCGGTCGCTTACGCGCCACTCCCCACTCCTCCTCCCTTCGTCCGGCCACCGCTCCCTTCGAGACTCTCCACTTGGACGTCTGGGGCCCTGCCCCGACGCAGGGGTCTGGGAAGGAGCGTTACTTTCTGGTGGTCGTCGACGACTTCTCCAGGTACACCACAGTGTTCCCTCTTGCGAAGAAGTCCGAGGTGACTGCTACGCTGATCAGGTGGCTTCTAGCCACTGAGGGCACTCGTGGTCGTCGAGTCAGTTGTCTCCACTCCGACCGTGGGGGCGAGTTTCGCTCCGGCATTCTCGGCGGATTCTGCGGCGAACAGGGCATCACACAGTCCTGGACGCTGCCAGAGTCCCCACAGCAGAATGGGGTTGCTGAGCGCCGCATAGGCCTGGTCATGGACATTGCCCGCACGTCCATGATCCATGCCCGTGCGCCCCATTTTCTGTGGCCCTACGCGGTTTGCTACGCCGCACACCAGCTGAACCTCCAGCCGCGTGTCTCGCGGCCCGAGGCTTCACCGACCAGTCTTTGGACTGGTTCCCCTGGTGTTGGGTCGGCCTTTCGAGTCTGGGGCTGCCTTGCGCTTGTTCGCGACACCTCCGCGGACAAGCTCTCGGCACGCGCCGTCCCATGTGTCTTCCTTGGTTTCCCAGTGGACTCTGCCGACTGGTCCTTTTACCACCCGCCCCTCCACCAGATCCTAGACTCCCGTGACGTCCGGTTTGACGAGTCTGTGTCCTACTACACCCGGTACCCCTGTCGAGGTCTCCCGGTACCCCCTCCCCCCCTTTTCCTGGCACCCTCTCCTCCTCCTGCTCCTGCTCCTCCGGTACCCCCTCCCCCCCCTGGTCCTGCCCCGTCTGGTGTGTCCCACGCTACCCCTCTACCCTCGGTCGCGCGTCAGGTAGCGTCTCCCTCCCCGCAGTCCTCCTCACAGTCCCCTCAGCAGCCTTCGGCACTTCCGCGACAGGTTCATGTGGACTTGGTTGGTGTTGGAGCTGGAGGTGCAGCCGCTGGTGGTGCGCGGTCTGGGGGTGCTCGTTTGCGGGGTGCTGGAGTTGGAGGGGCTGGTGCAGGTGGCGCTAGCTCTGGGGGTGCTGGAGCTGGGGGTGCTGGAGTTGGAGGTGCTAACGCTGGAGGTGCTAGTTCTGGGGGTGCTGGAGTTGGGGGTCCTGACACTAGGAGGTGTTGGTTCTGGGGGTGCTGAGTCTGAGGAGACTGGAGCTGGAGACCCTGGTTCTGCGGAGTCCACTCCGCCTCCCCACCGCCACGACACGCGTCTCCAGGCTGCCCGTCGGCGGGAGCGTGAGGAGCAGGAGCGGTTGGAGAGGGAGCGGCAGGAGCTGCGGGTGCTGGACCTTCTGGAGCAGCAGCGGCAGCAGCAGCAGCAGCAGCAGCAGCAGCAGCAGCAGCCGCAGCCGCCTCCGCAGCTTCCTCTGGAGCGGCAGTTGTTCCCACCTGTGAGTGGCCTGCGGGCCCTTGGCCTTTCCTCCTCTCCTCCTGTCCGCTCCCAGTCTCCTCCTGTGTTTGTTCCTCCGTTGCCTCCTCCTGACGACCGTCCGGCGGTCTGGTCTTCTCCTCCTCCTCAGTCTCCTCCTCCTTCTGTCCGTCGCGACTTGATCACCCGTTGTCCTCCGCGTGCTCGTCACTCGTCCCCTGTTACTGACCTCCACACTTCCCTCCTTTGTTCGTCTCGTCGTCGTTCTCCTTCTCCTGTGTCCGTTCTCCCGTCTCCTCCTCCGTCCTCTCTCACAACCCTCCCCACTCCTATCTCTGACTACTACCGCGCTGTTCGTCCTGTTGCCGCACGTGTCCTCGCCACTCTTGTCACCGACTCTCGTTTCCCTCCGTCGTCTACCTCGGCTCTCACTGCCGCTGTCGCTGAGTTTGCTGCCGCCAGCCGCCTTGACTACGCCACCCGTGTGGTGCCAGCTCCTCCCTCCCGTCCTCTGTCCGTCGGGGGTGGGTTTGCCCTTGGCTGTAACGTCCTAGAGGACAGAGAGTCTGAGCTGGAGTACTGGGCAGCCGTTTCTCCCTCTGTGTGTGCCATGCTGCTCTCCCCTGATGGAGACCCCGACGCCCTTGACATACCGACTCCTCGCACTTACCGCGAGGCAGTGTTAGGGGCGTGGGCCTCTCAGTGGAAAGCGGCTATGGACTCAGAGTTGGCGTCTTGGAGATCCACAGGCACCTACGTCGACGCAGTTCCCCCTCCCAGGGCGAACGTAGTCGATGGCATGTGGCTCTTCAAGGTGAAGCGGCCGCCTGGAGCACCGCTGGTGTTCAAGGCGCGCTACGTGGCTAGGGGCTTCAGTCAGCGTGAGGGAGTTGACTTCTTCCAGACCTTCGCCCCGACCCCGAAGATGACTACTCTTCGGGTGCTACTCCACATAACAGCGCAGCGAGACTACGAGCTGCACTCCCTCGACTTCTCCACTGCGTTCCTCCAGGGCCGACTGCACGAGGAGATCTGGCTGCGCCGTCCTCCTGGCTTCACTGACACCTTCCCACCTGGGACCCAGTGGAGCCTGAGGCGACCAGTCTACGGTCTCTGCCAGTCGCCCTGTGACTGGCACGACACTCTTCGCTCCACGCTTCGTGACCTTGGGTTCAGCCCGTCCTCCGCCGACCCGTCGCTGTTTGTTCGAGCGGGTTCTACTCCTTTCTTTATCCTTGTCTACGTTGACGACTTGGTGTTTCCTACCGCAGACAGGGCAGCCCTGGCTCAGGTGAAGTCCGAACTGCAGAAGAGACAGAAGTGCACTGACCTGGGTGAGCTGCAGCGCTACCTTGGCCTGCAGATCACCAGGGACAGAGCCGCTCGCACCATCACACTGACGCAGTCACACATGGTGCAGCAGGTCCTTCGGCGGTTCGACTTCCAGTTCTCCACCGCACAGCCCACTCCTCTTGCTGTTGACCACCGACTCACTGGCCCCTTTCCTGACGAGCCCTTTGAGCCCAGTGGTCCCTACGCAGAGCTTGTGGGCTGCCTCATGTACCTGATGACTTGTACTCGGCCGGACCTCGCCTTTCCCCTCAGCATCCTCTCTCGCTTTGTTGCGACTGGGAGACACCGTCCTGTCCACTGGACAGCTGCTGTGAGGGTGGCGAAGTACCTGGCGACTACATCAGGCATGGGGCTTGTGCTTGGAGGGACTCAGCCAGAGGCGTTGACTGGTCACTGCGACTCTTCCTACGCTGACGACGTGGAGACTCAGCGTTCGACTCAGGGTTACTGCTTCAGTCTGGGAGCTGGTGCTGTGTCGTGGAGGTCTACACGGTCGTCGTCTGTGGCTACTTCCAGTGCAGAGGCAGAGATCTACGCTGGTGCCATGGCGGCACAGGAGCTTCGCTGGTTGACCTTCTTGCTCGCCGACCTTGGTGAGCGGCCTCGCTCTGCACCGACCTTGTACGCAGACAACAAGGCCATGATCCTCCTGTGTCGAGAGCCTCGACTGGAGAGCAGGGTGAAGCATATTGACGTGAGGTGCTTCCTCCTGCGAGAGCTGCAGCGACGCGGCCATGGCACGCCTGGACTTTGTGGCCTCAGAGGCCAACACTGCAGACGTCTTCACCAAGGCCTTGGCGCTTGGTGATCACCACAGGTTCTGTGTGCAGTTGGGGCTTGTTGAGGTAGGCCCTCGGTTGCTGTAGTCTTGTTGTTTGCTCTGCTTGTTGTGCTTCCTATTTATATCCTAGTGAACTCTTGAACTGGCCTTGTGGCCGCTTGCTTGCGCTCGGAATCTGTGTGGTGTCCTTGAGATCCACCCTGAGCTTGCCTTGCTTCTTGCTTTGACTGGTCTTGTGACTGTTTGTTCACCTTGTTTGCTTTGATGCCCCTCACTTAGCCTATGGGGGTGTGTCAAATGTAATTCTATGCTTGTAGGCTACAGTGAGTAGCACAATAGGGAGTACAGTTGTTAGGGTTGCATATTTGTACTCTCACACTTTCTAGTTTCGATCATTCCGTTGCATTCCTATTCTAAGAGTTGCGTCGCAGGATTTTGTGCTGCGCTTCGTTTTGACACTGAAGCTACAGTGCTTGACACTCTAAATTCGCGCGCTTCGTGTTGACACTGCCATGTTGACATGTCATCCCCACGGACACGAACTCAGAGTTCCCAAAAAAACAACTCTGGAAATCCCAAAAAAACAACTCTGGAAATTCAGAGTAGTAAAAATAAAAAAATAAGCCCTGCTAGCTAGGCCGAGGTCGCGGAGTCGCGCGAAGGTCGGGTGCAGGTTTGGGGTTGGGAAACCCGAAGGCGACGCGGAGGACGTTCGGAAGGCGAGGTCATCGGACCGAGCCTGAACTCCGAAAAGTTGGACTTGTACGTATACGGAGTGCCTCAGTAAGGAATTAGGAAAATTCCTGACACGGACAATCAGTACAAGCAGCAAAAGCAGCAAAAGCCTCACTATACAGCTTAAGTACAAAACTTAAAAAATGTACATGGAAATAAATCTGCTGCTGGCTCTAAACCTGCAAAGCTAAAACAGTAAAGAAATGGCAGCTAGCAACTACAACAATCACAAAAAGCCAATTTCAACATTGCAGCACTTCTCATTTTCACTACCACATGCATCCTCTCAATTCCATCTACAGGCAAAACCGCCTGTGCTGGATCCTTCTTGAGCACAGACGAGAGCAAGCGGGGCTGGCACGAGCACTTCACAATCACATTCATTCCAATCACATGGCCATTTCCGCACGCATCTTCTCCAGTTCGTCCTCCTCTTCGGTAGGTGCCTTTTGAGCCGGAGCCTTCTTGGGCACGGAAGGCAGCGGCTGTGTGGGCACAGCAGCAGCTGGTTGCAGCAGTTGCTCGTCCAACTCCAGTGCCTCCAGCTCCTCCAACTCCGCCATAAGCTCGTCCTGTGGACAGGGAAGGGAAGTGGTGGGGGAATGTTGGGCAAACAGATGGTTTCAGCAGTTGCTCGTCCAACTCCAGTGCTTGCAGCTCCTCCAACTCCGCCATAAGCTCATCCTATGGGACAGGAAATTTCAGAGACAGGGAAAAGGGAAGTGGTGGGAAGGTGTAAGCAGCGGCTGGTTGCAGCAGTTGCTCGTCCAACTCCAGTGCCTCCAGCTCCTCCAACTCAGCCATAAGCTCGTCCTGTGTGGGACGGGGGAGGTCACAGAGATAGGGGGGAGAGAAGAGTGGTGGGGGGATGTGAGCAGCAGCTGGTTGCAGCAGTTGCTCATCCAACTCCAGTGCTTCAAGCTCCTCGAGCTCGGCCATAAGCTCATCCTGTATTGGAAGAAAGGTCAGGAGGAACAGGAGGAATAGGAGGGAAGTGGTGGGTGTGAAGGAACCAGAATGGTTGCAGCAATTGCTCGTCCAACTCCAGTGCCTCAAGCTCCTGCCACTCAGCCATTAGCTCATCCTGCATGAAACGGGGGTGGTCAGATGCGGGAAACGAAAGGGGTGTAAACAGAGAGACGGTTGCAGCAGCTGCTCGTCCAACTCGAGGGCTTCCAGCTCCTCAAGCTCGGCCATAAGCTCATCCTGCATTGAAGGGGGGTCAATTGTACAGGAGGGAAGTGATGGGGGTTTGAATTGAACGAACAAAGCTGGTTGCAGCAGTTGCTCGCCCAACTCCAGGGCTTCAAGCTCCTCCAACTGAGCCATGAACTCATCCTGCATGGGATGGGGGAGTTCCGAGGGACAGTGGGAAAGGGAAAGCTGGGACGGGTGCCACTTTGCAATGGTAGAATAACCACGAAAGCACTGTACGTGGAATACTGTGAACGAGTTTTTACAGTAGCATCATGAGAGCACCGTACCTCGTCAAGATCGGCGGCGATGCCGACAGGTTGTGAGAGGGCGTCCTGGATCGATCTTGAGAATGGTACCTGTATTCCCAACCGTAACGCATCATAGACAGCACTGTACTGTACCTCGTCAAGATCGGCGGCGATGCCCACAGGTTGTGAGAGGGCGTCCTGGATCTGCTTCATGTTCTCCGACTGCTCGTTGATCTCATCCAATGTCTTGTCCACATCGTCAATGTTCCTGTGGAGGAGGAGAGGGGAACACAGTGAAATATGAGGGGCGATGGCAGGAGCACAGTGAGAAAACAATGTTTCCACAACTCAGAGAACATCTTCATCTGACTGCTTGCTTGTTGATCCCGACCAACGTCTTGTCCACATCGTCAATGTTCCTGCGGGGATGAAATGCAGGAAAAGAGGGAGGGGAATAGAGGAGAGAGGGGTTTCTGGTTGACTGACTGCATGAAGGAGAGAACCAGGGACCAATGATACGGACGGATTGCGACGAGGCCAGGGTCCCAATTCAACGATGCTGATGGGTATGGGTGGGTGGAGTGGATGGATAGTCATAGTTTCCTGGATGGATCTGCTTCATGTTCTCCGATGGCGTCCGATGGCATGGCATCCAATGACTTCTCAGCGTCATCCATGTTCCAATGAAAAGGGGAACAACAGACAGCAGAGAAGACAAACTTCAGAGCATGGATTCCAAGCACCACACAGGCTGTGCAGGAGCATTGGTGAGTGGGAAGTTAGAATTGACACCTACTTGTGCACGGCAGCGTGTATAGCACCAGGCTCCAGCGCATTCTGAGACGCCGCCTCTCAAGTAGGGGCGAGGCTCATTCTAAGACGGCTTTTACGGGTTGTGCAACAGCAGTGAAACTAGATAATGAAACTCACATCTTCTTCTGCACGCCTTGGATGGCCTGCGCCGACTCCTTCATTGCACTCATCATCTCCACAGTGACACTTGCACCCTCCAGATTCACCTCCTGCATTTAAAGAGCATTCAGGAGCATTCATGAGCACTCAGGGAAAATTCAGGAAAAATTCAGAGTCACACAAGCAGCATGAGATAGCCCCTTGATTGGCCTGGGCGGACTCCTTCAGTGCACTCATCATCTCCACCGTCCCACTCTCTCTCTTAAAATTCATCTCCTCCATCAGTTCGAATTCTCACCCTTCTCTCACTTCCCAGCAGTCAGCACGCACCTGGTCTTGCAGGCGGAAGATATAGTTGTTGAGCGCATCGATCTGATTCTTATACAGCTTCTTCTTCAGGCACTGGATGGCGGCTAGAAAAACAGCACTTGTCCCCCCTAACCTCTCTCCACATCCGCCTCGTCACTGTCCCAGCACAGCAGTCAGCACGCACCTGGTCTTGCAGGCGGAAGATATAGTTGTTGAGCGCATCGATTTGATTCTCATACAGCTTCTTCTTCTTCTTCAGGCACTGGATGGCGGCTAGAAAAACAGCACTTGTCCCCCCTAACCTCTCTCCACATCCGCCTCGTCACTGTCCCAGCACAGCAGTCAGCACGCACCTGGTCTTGCAGGCGGAAGATATAGTTGTTGAGCGCATCGATTTGATTCTCATACAGCTTCTTCTTCTTCAGGCACTGGATGGCGGCTGCGGCAGCGCAGGGAGGGAGTCGAGGGGTGGGTGGGGATAACCATGGGGGTGAAGGAATAACTAACTTCCTTGCTGCGCCTCAGACATGGACCAGATTCTAGTACAGCTTCTTCTTTTTCAGGCACTGAATGGCGGCTGCAGTGGAACAGAGAGGCGGTGGAAATGGGGGTAAATCAACCGATATTTTAAGGATCCTCTCAGAGATTATACGAATTCTCGTACAGCTTCTCCTTCCTTAGCCACTGAATGGTGGCTAAAGTGGAGCCGGGACGGGATGGGGAGATGGGGTTGAGGTGAAAGCGGGGAGAAGAAAACTATCGTTTGAAGCGTTTCAAAAATACATCTGACTCTCGTACAGCTTCTTCGTCAGTAGGCACTGGAAGGCGGCTGGAGGAGGACGGGAAGCGGTGGATGGGGGTGGAGGAGGAAAATGCTACCTCGGAAGTAACTGAGTCGGATTCGAAGTAACGTAACCTAAACTAGAACGTGAAAAGGCTTACAACACGACATCTCGCCTTTGTGCCATCCGTGCGTTTCAACTGCGACAAAGCGCACCACGCTTATGAATCTACCCGTTACAGCCGTAGTTCCCCCCTCGTTCAATTATTGGTTCCAAACACTTTACTGCGCATAAGACACACCTCGCGTCGTCGTCTTCTTCGTTCCCACTTACCTCGCTTGTTCTTCTGTTTCGAAAATTCCTGGGCCTTTTGCAGCTCCAAAGCGACTCTCTTCTCGAGGACCTTGAGTTTCTTCTCCAGCATTTCACGCGTCTGAATACATGCAATTCACAAGCGAACAAGCATAACATGCTAATGCATGAATTCACGTTCAATTTCTGAATCCTTCCACAGCTCCAGTCAGCACTACGATGAACAAAAGACGACGCGGACGGCCGGGCCCTCCGCAAGAGGGCGTAACAGGAAAACAGGAATCGACGCTAGGCCTAGAGATCCGATGCAGGTTTAATTAAACGTCATTCGCCCACAAACAATCGGAAAGCAACATATATTTTGAAACTCTAAAGCATGGCGTCAGTAACAGGATGAGCAGAGTGCGTGGAATGATAAAACGGTAATGCGTACCTCCGACAACTTGTCAAGGGACGCCCGGACTGTCGGCTGCTCCTTCGGCTTCCCGAAAATCTTGCCGAACATGGTTGCTGACTGTTAAAATAGTTGTAAAATGTGTGAAATCACTGCGGAAGAAACTACCGGGTGCTTCTCTTGCTAACTATGTAGACGCAAAAACAAAAGCGAAAGAGAAAAGGGCTTAATCCTTCTCCCGCGTTGACGCTTCACCAAACCAGCTTCTTCACCGTCCCGGAACGCGACGAGTGTAGCGAGCAACCTACTTGATGAATCCTCCCCACAAATGGGCACGACAGGCAGATGCTTGGTGAAGTGCTTAGGGAATTGCTGCAGCAATGACGTAATGGTACCACGTTGAGAGGATCAGCAGGTCACAACACAAGTCACTAAGGTCACTTCACAATACTCTAGTCAGCCCTAATTTTGGTAGCAGCAGAAAGCAGCGTCATCAACAGCATAGCAGCGTTTCAAAAAGACCGACAGTTTTTGCGGTTATGCGGGATGGAAGGCAATTTACGTAGGTTAATATGGGTGAAAATAGAAAGCGAAAGGGATGGGGTGGGTAACGGCGGACCCTGGGACGAAGGGGAAGGGGGAAGGGGATGCGGGAAGAAGTAGACCTTGCGGTCATCTGTTCCTTGCGTTGGCCTATCACACGCTTTGTTGCACCTTCCTTGACCACTCCACACGTGGTTGGTCGAGATTCGAGAGGGGTGTGACAGTACTGAATGAAGGTTGTGGATGCATTTAGCTCTAAACTATACAACTGTGCTACATAGGGAAAAGCTGAGAGCAAGCTGGATATCATAAGATCAATAAGATCACCCAAACATGCTATCAATAAAATCACCATTCAGGCAGGTCTTGTGACAGGATAAATACATCCTGACCTGAACTTTCATGAAAGGACCTGATTAAAAACCGTGAAAACTCCTGATTTGCAGGGCATTCGGTGTGGAATACCACAATTATCTAAGACAACCACTCTTCCAATTTCCTTCATTTCTATATCCATGCTCGATAAAAACAATGCTACATGGATCAGAAGAGCACAGTGCAGCTGACAGTTCCACAAGAATCTGCCCATAAGGTAAAAGAGGGGGGAATCGTTTGATGGCGGGCGCGTGCGATGGTACGTGCAGACCGGTACAACTTATGGGATTAGTCATACGACTGCTTAGCCTGACGTTTTATTAGCCATCTGTGGGCACAAAAAACATCAACCCCATTTAGATAGTATGCTGCTATGAAATGTCAACAGTCGCGCTTGTCACGCTGCCTGCAACTGCTGCCCGCTGCCGCGCATAGTGTTGTGCCACCCACTATCTAACTGCCTGCCTCTAACTGTCTCCCCATCCGCCTGTGGCTGTCCCCTCTTATCCGCTGTAGCTGTGTCCCTTCTCACTCCTATCATGGCGTCTCAGTTCGTGCTGCGGCTCAATGCGGAAGGGCGGGCGATTGGCTTTGACGTGTGGTTGCTCTACGGCAAGCTCCAGATGCGGAGCCAGCGCTAGGACGACGTCTTCCTTTACGCCCACGTGTCAAATGAGCTACATGCCCCCAAAAATTCGGTTGTTCTTGCTAGTGAGCCCACGCCGGAGAAGCGGGAGGCTCACCGCGTGGCTCGCCATACGTAGTCGCGCGACATTGTTGCGCACCTTGCTCTTGAACGCCCCGCCGTCGGCTGAGTGAGTGCGTTTTCGCCAGGACGCATCTTGATGCTATAGTTGCTCACGAATCCACTCCCTCCTCTGCTACTCTGGGGCGCCTCCCCATGTCCTTCTTCTCCCTTATCTCCCTGCTTTCTGCACGGTCGCTGACCTCAATACCCACTTGCGTTTGCTTGCCACTAGCTTCCGTGCTGCTTGCATTGTTGATGACCTTCCTGGGTACCCCCCCCCCCCCTCCCCTCCCTCGATGTATGGCACCCTACACTTCTGAACGACTCTCCTCCCTGGCGCCTCGTGCCCACCTTCGACGCTCTCTCCGCCATGCAACCCATGCACCTCATCATTAATCTCTTTAGGACTCATCTCACTGAAATCGAGACCCGCATTCGGACCATCGCCTCCACCACTGCTACGGTAGTCCCCCCCATCTTTGAGGGATGTACACTGCCCCATTTCCTTATCCTAGCTGAATCTACTACTGTTGTTGAGGCTACTGCTACAGTGGAAGTCGCATCTGTCTCTGCCCCCTTTGGTGGGCAGGAATGGCGCATCGGTAGTCGTAATCGGTGGAGGAGGTGGACGTGCTGGTATGTCGGGAGGTGTACGTATGTATGAGAGTACTTGCTCTACTTCTGATGGGTCCAGTAGTGCTAGTGCTGACGCGAGGTGCGATGTCCTGGCAGCAACAGTAGTACTCCCAACAGAAGCAGTAGCTGTTACACCAGCTCCATCAGTGGGTCTCTCAGCGGCAATGGGGACCTACTGGCCCAGAGAACGGTAGTCGCGGTGTCGGGTCTGACAGCCAGGCATCGCGTGGCCTCTCCCGCGGGCCATGATGGTACCAGATTCGATCTGGTCCATTGGGTGGCATCGTCTGCGGGTGCTCTAGTCACCCTACTGCGTGTATAAGGATCGAGGATCGATTCAGAAAGTAAATTATGATCTCCTGGATACAAAACACGGCTATATTTAGGCACGATACAATGTAAGGTAACCAGGTGTTATGCGAAGCGTCCCGAATGGGTCATTCCCAAATTGAGTAGAGACTCTTGGTATAATCACACGTTACGCAAAGTTACGCAATGATGAAACGAAATGCACATAATCCGGTGCATGTAACCTGTTCGGTGCCTAAAACTATAATATCTATAGTAAGGCAACGAAACTAGGAAAACAAGCACACGAAAATAGAAATAAGCAAAATAATGCCAGGTAAATTGAATATAGGTAAGCATATGCACTGTACTTCCACAGCGTGCTACTTCCATCACCTCGACGACCTCTTCCACGCCCACTTTGGGCCTATGACTGGCCTGCGCTGTTACGTAGTGCTTTGACTATATTTTATATTAACATGTCTTAGATAGGATCTACTTTGTTTGCCATGTAAGGTGACGTCTCAAGTGCTGCCAAAATTATATTATTTGAATGTACCTAGACTATGATCTCCTGATGTGTCTAATGTAGGATCTTCAGATGTTCCCTCACTAGGTTTGTCCACTATCGATGTGTCCCTCTCCTTCACTTTGGAGTCTGGTGCGTCCATGTGCTTCTTTCGCAATCGCTCCACCCTCTCACCGCTTCTAGTTCCTGTCGCAGTCTCCTTAGCCGACCCCTTCCCTGGACCGGTCGTCACACGCAGCACTACTACAACTTAGTGCCTGGTAGTCCTGTCTGGCTCGCAAGTCTGCACACCAATTTGTTCTCCACAAACTTGGTGATTGCCAATCGTCTTCATAACTTTGGCATGGCCATCACGTTTCCAGGACACGAGCGGTCCCCGACCTGTACCGACGCTACCATTGAGGCACCTATTGTCACGTTCCCCCAGGACTCGGCGCCATGTATTTTCATGCTGCGCACTGGGTCCATCCGGATAATTGCGTCTGGTCAGGCAGTTGCGCTGTGCTCGTGTCGATCGTTCACTCAACTGTCGCTGTTGTGGCACCACTACCTAGGTTACTTCGCCCTCCCGCGTCTCCGTCACATTGCTCAGTGATGTCTTGTCTTTGGTCTCCCGTTGCCACTCCCCGCTCTCCCTCCCCCGTCCGGCACCATCGTGCACCCCTTCCGTTGAGAGCAGGTAGCACGCTGTCCCTCACTCCTCTTCATTCCCCCCCTCCCACTTGGCCTCTTCATACCTACATAGACGTCTCGGGCCCTGCCCCTATCGTGGGCCGTGCTGGGAGCGATCTGGTGATTCTAGACGACTACTCCCACTACACAACAGTGTTGCTGCACATATATACATACCATATCAGTAGAGCTGTGTCAAACTCATATGCTATAGTCTGTGTAGGCTGTAGTGGGGTAGACAATATGGGGTACAACACTTTTAGGTTTTCCTACTTGTACCCACCTGCTTGCTAGTTCACTCATCCCTCGTTCTTTCACATGGTATAGAGCAGGTTCCCTAGGGCCCACACGTTTCCTAGGGCCCACCGAATATCGATTTTTTTTTTTTTTCCTGCCCGGAGCGCGCTTCGCCCCTGCCCGGGTCGCGCCCCGTGTGCCTACCCTCCCGTCGCGTCCCCTGCCCTTGGTGGCCCGTCGCGCTCCCCTAAGGCCCCGTAGCGGCCCCTCTCACGGCCCTTCGGGCCCCTTCAGGCCCCTCGTGGCCCCTTCGCGGCCTCCCTTCGCGGCCCCTTCGCGGCCCCTTCACGGCCCCTTCGCGGCCCCTTCACGGCCCCTTCGCGGCCCCTTCACGGCCCCTTCGAGGCACCTTCACGGCCCCCTCGCGGCCCCTTCGCGGCCCCTTCGCGGCCCCTTCACGGCCCCTTCGCGGCCCCCTCGCGGCCCCTTCACGGCCCCCTCGCGGCCCCCTCGCGGCTCCCTCGCGGCTCCCTTCGCGGCCCCGCCCCGCTGCCCGTAGCGGCCCCGCCCCGTCGCCAGTCGCGGCCCCGCCCCGTCGCCAGTCGCGGCCTCGCCCCGTCGCCAGTCGCGGCCCCGCCCCGTCGCCAGTCGCGGCCCCGCCACGTCGCCCCTGCCTCGTCGCGACGCCCCTGCGGGACCCGCGAGGCGCAGCTCCTGTGCGTCGCGACGCCCCTGCGGGACCCGCGTGGCGTCACCCCTGCCCGCCGCGGCGCCCTGCCCTAACCCGCGCCCTGGAGCAGCCGCCACTACAGCAGCCGCCCCTGGAGCAGCCGCCACTGCAGCAGCCGCCCCTGGAGCAGCCGCCCCTGAAGCAGCCGCACCTGAAGCAGCCGCCCCTGGAGCAGCCGCCCCTGAAGCAGCCGCCCCTGGAGCAGCCACCACTGCAGCAGCCGCCCCTGGAGCAGCCACCCCTGCAGCAGCCGCCCCTGGAGCAGCCGCCCCTGCAGCAGCCGCCCCTGGAGCAGCCGCCACTGCAGCAGCCGCCCCTGGAGCAGCCGCCCCTGCAGCAGCCGCCCCTGGAGC